TCTGCGAAATATTGTTGTTCGAGCAGTAACAATTCATGCTATCTTCCGCGGGGTTGCACTTGCACGTGTCTTGAATCGAGCAGTTTTGGTTTAGCGGAGTAGCACTATTGTGTGTATAGTCATTGATGCATGCGTAGCTGAAGCTATAAGGTTGTGGCAACCTTGCTGTGAATTGGTCGTTCTCTATGAAAGAGTCTGTTAAAAGTGACATGTGTGGGGTTTCGATTGACGTTAGTTGGAGAGTAGTGCCATGCAATTGCTTTTTCACATTGCGTTCGAGTTCATGTCGTATGATTTGCGTCGGTCGAGCCATGTTGTTTGTTCGAATGTTAGAAGTGCTTTCTCTGACCAAGTGGGGCAGTGAAAAACTTCAAATGTTTCGCTATCGGTTGGGACGTGGTATACTCTATAGAATAGGCATCCCGAAGATGGGAAACCACATGTGCATCCTATACCCCCGCACGACTCCGTACAGTACGTTATGCCTACGTATTTGTTCGCGATGTCTAGTTCGTCTACGAGCGAATCTGGGTTGACTTGTGCGCACTTGGATCCTGAACAGGAGCCCATGTGTGGGCAACGTTTGCTGTATTGCACGCGGGTCTCTGTATTCCTAGTAAAGTAGAGAGTCTCTTTATTGCAACGTTTGATGACCTCGTGAAGTGTGATCTTGATTTCCGAAATCGTCTTATTGTCACGCTTGATGTGAAGACATGTTGGGGCTGCATAGAATTAAGTTTCAAAAGAAACTGGTGGTTATTTTGACCTGAATTCGTTCAAGTGTTACATTGCATGACGTGCTGCCTTGGGTAGAATATTGTTGTGGCATCTGTAACGATGTATGTATCAAGGCCAACCTAAATCGTGGCCGAAATGTGGAAAAATCCTGACGAGCGTAGAAGGTTTCCACCGGCCTAATGACTGGGTGTTCACTTCCACTAAGGGGATGTGATCGTCTTCACCAGTATGACATGAAGGGGTGAAGGTGTGTGGCAAGCGAGAAGAGAAAAATCGTTTAATGGGGTTACAGGCCCTACTTAATTTTTTGCAGACTAGTCTTTTGACTTTATTGACACAAAGAATCAAAATTGTCACTGTAATGACAACAGTGTAGATTCCAACTGCAGCCACTGTAATGGCATCGGTGGTTCGTGTTAGGTCGTTAGAATGTCTGCACGCGGCGGCCCGGTTCTATTCCCTGCTCGCATGCCACGCATGTCTAACCCGCGTTGTTTGCTCGTTCGTTCGGTTTAGCCAGAAATATACAGGACTGCAGGAACTACTTTATTGATATATCAAATAACTACAATACTACAAAGAAGAACTACAATTATCGTTCGCCGTGCATCCTCGATCTCGTTCGTTCGTTTGAGGCCGGGAGAGAGATATTGTTCGAACTTACTCGGAGGGAGTTACGACCCCGACTCCTCGACGGCCCGCCTCCTCGTGAGCCGCTCCCTGGCGCAGCTGTGACTCCTCGGTCCCGCCTCCTCACAGTTCTGCTACATTGCGGTGTACATCGTGATGACGTCACGACAGGAAGCACCATCCGCTACTACACCTGCTACACTTATTCGTTCCATGACCTAACTAATTGATGTTCAAAAAGCAATACTTGTGGAGAAAGTATCCTTTCTCGTATTGTAGACAGCTGTATATTGTTGCCTTTTCATTCGAAATCTAGTCCGGCTTCTCAATTTTACTTTGTGTACTTTTCCACGCGAATTCCACGTGAAGCGAGGATGTTCAGGAAGCCATATTGCTTATTGGGGATCACTTCTAATCTTTGAAGCCACAGCAGGTGTTCATATCTCACTGTTTCTTCACATGGTTTTGACCAACACTGCTGTAAATCTAGTGTGGTCGAAGTCGAACAGCAATAGAATATGTTTTCGTATTCGGGAAAATGATGACAGCAACAGACCTTCAGCAGGTACCCCCCCCTGGGTCATGCCTCGACGGCGGTCACTCGACAAGGAAGTTTGCGTCTATAGCGTTTACGCTGCTGCTATGGTCTTAGGAACTGATGTTAAGAACGACTGCCACGAATTTTCCGTGAACGAGGTATGCGACGCCGCTCAGAACGGTATTCAGTTGTGATGAAAATCTTTTCTCATTCCAGGTTTGAAACCGACATAATATTGTTAGAAAACGGATACTAGTACACATACCTTGCTTCTCTTCTCAATGTGATGAAAAACAGCAGTCTTGTTCCGACCGAAATGCATCTCTCAGTGGGAATCTTACAGATTTCCGACATTTGGCTGACGGTTTTGAAGAGTATAGCGTCAGATACAGCATTCCTAATAAGTGACATACCGTGCGCTAGCAATACCACCGTCTCTCCAATCTTACCTACTATTTCCTTGAACTTTTCCAGTTTCCTACTAATTTTTCCAGTTTTTCCTGCTGAAAAGAGCGAAAATAAAATCGTCACCAGTCATCTACCAATATCAACTGCTAGAAATAGTAGTTGTATGGTACTTCTGCGATAGTTGTGTATGATATGATAGCACCAGTAACTGGAGGTGAGGAAAGTGCGGAAACTGTCTCGCGGCTTGAATAAAAACTACCAAGGCCGGATACGGAACCCTGCAACCATCCTTCTGATCAATTCTTCTATTGATACTGCGGCTGCCTCCCATACCAGGTAATGCAAGACATTTTTAGAATGGTGCAGAAAAGTTCCTGCGGAATACCCTTTTACATACAGTTTTTCCGTTAACGATCTCCTCACTAATAGGATCCCTGAGGTTGCCCAAGGCTTCGGTATCCGCTCCCTCACCAACGGAATTCAAAAACGTGACTTCATTGAACGTTAGGCCAGGCGCGCCTTATATTGTCACGGTTGTTCAGTACGCTTCACCAATAAGAACCGCCGAAAACACTTATTACTTAATTCCTAGTTTATACTTGATTGATTCATGTGAATTCTTCGGCACTATTAGGTCGTGGCAAAAATAATGACTGTTTTGAGGCAAATATTTTAAAATATCATAGCTCGCTGTTGCTTTTCAATCGAAATAACGACCAAAAGAATCAACACATTTCTGCCATCGCGACCTTTCTGTTGATTAATGCGGACTGAGTCCGATGCAGATTTTGGTGCATTTTTCGATTTCCTCACAGTACTTCTCCGCTGTGATGGTTTCTCCTGGAGCCAGGAAGCTGTGGTGGATCAAACCGGCTGTAGACCACCAAACAGTCACCATGACTTTTTTTTGGTGCAACTCCGGCTTTGGAAAATGTTCATCAGCTCCGTCTGAATCCACTTTTCGTCACACGTCACAATGCGTTGCAGAAAAGAATCGTTTTGTTCCGCAAAAGGAGACGAACAGACTTCGAGACGACGAGATTGCTGGTGCTCAGTCAACTCATGCGGGATCCACTTGTCAAGTTTTTTTTACCTTCCCAATTTTCTTCAAATGACGTGCTACAGTTCCGAAGTCAACTCCCAGCTCTTCAGCAATTTCCCTTGTGGATGCTCTTGGGTTGGCTTCTATCTGTGCCTTCAATTCTTTAACTTCCGATGGCCGACCGCGTCCCTCCTGATCTTCCAGGTTGAAGTCTCCATCTCGGAATTTGTCGAACCACCTACTCATTTCTAGTATACTTCGCCCCATGCGTTGGTGATATTCCTAGCTGCTTCCGCAGCATTACGGCCGAGTTTGTACTCGTGAAGCATGATGAGTCGGATTTCGCGTCTTGACAACATCTTCGCGGGTGACCCAAAATCGTAGAAGAAATGGTGGCAGAGAAACGGGGAAAAAATTTGTACGATAGCTTGAAAAATGTGAACGATATGTTGAATTACAATATATGCCTAAGTTACAAATGAATTATGATCAGTGGAACATAGTAGGTGCGAAAACGGTCATTATTTTTGCCACGACCTAATATTTACCCTTTACTGCCTCAGTATTCCAAGCAGGCCAGTTTTTGACCGACTTTTTCCTGCCTGTTCAGAAATGGCTGAAAATTTGTCCCCCTAGATTGTTCGACCTCCTGAACATGAATATCACATCCGCTCGGCAAGCAATCTCCTGGCGCCCGCGCCACAGCGCCAAAATACCCCAAATCACCGGCGCCTGTGGCGCGGGCGCCAGGAAGTTTTGGGCTAAGCGAATGTGATATTCGTATTCAGGAGGTCAAACTACCCCAGGAGACAACATTTGAGCCAAATCGTCCTAAAAAAGTCGGTCAAAAACTGGCTCAATTCTGGATGGAAGGGGCAGTAAAGGGTGAGTAGTGACGAATATTTCCCTGAGAATCAAATGAGGTAAGCTACTGTGGAAAAATGGCGGTTCGGCGTAAGGTGGAGGGATACAGACACCTCACAGGTTTTTATCAGCGTGGAAATTTTTATAATTTGTGAAGACTGCAGCTCACTCAATTCGGTGAGTCTACAGTTTACTTGCCTCATGCAAAGCCTCATGAGAACTCCAAGTTCCTATCAAAGTGAGAAAGTTAAGAAGTCGGCAAGGCAAGGATGAGCAAAATGCATCAGCCCCCCCCCAAACCGAGCAGTGTCAGAAAAGTCGCGCCAGAAAAGTCGCTATTGAGGTTTGGACCGAGCAGAAAACTTTATGACGACGCAACTGACAGTAATGGTCTATTGTTGAACACAAGTACATACTCGCCTACGTGGATCCCAATCCTTCATGTATAAGGGGAATGCGTCAGCAGCAACAATAGCACGCTACATTCTCTGCTCAAAAGGGCACGGGAACGCAGCCAGGAAGTTGATCACGATCGGATCTCCATACTCTGCCACGCTCTTCTTGATATGCAGCAGTTGAGCCGACACCACGGTCACCCAACGAAACACTGGTCATGTGGCAGAGGGGGTGGAGTATACATTTCCCCTGGGTATATTCCCGTGCACTTCTGACCGAAAGTGGCATTGATACACTACAGCTGTTGGACACTCAACCTAACCACAAAGAGCGAGATCAGCGAAGACAAGGCTTGTCTTTAATATGCATTCAACTCCGTTGTGTCTATGCTGGTTCTGTGAGATCACTATCGAATGATGACTGCTGTTTGGTACTCGAATTTTTGTATTCTTCGTAGAGACCAGTTGGAGTTACACTGCTCTCCTCAGGACGATCGCCTTGTGATGTGTTGCTATCAGGTAGAACGTTTGTCGCGGAATGTGGTGCGTCGTCCCGCTGCTTAGCACTTGGCATATCCTCTCCATCATTCGACTGTTCGAGCAACCAGTACGTCTCCATGACTCCTTTGCCCTGAACACAGCAACTGAAAAATGGGTTTAGCGATTTACGTTGATTCAGTCACGTTGGAGGAAATTCAAGTTGTATTCGGAATATTAAACATTTTTGGAAAAGATTTGGCTATTGATGAGATAAATTAACATTCTGGTGATAACCTTCGAAACGCGATAAGCCGCAAGATAGCAGCTATCATGATAAAACAACTCCGAAATTCCGGATGTGTTTGTCTCTTATTAACAAACCAGTCGGATCGCCCGGCTTACGCCGAGCTCTCCTCCTTCTCATTAGCCCTTGAAAGCCAGGCTATACCGGCGAAGCCGAGCTAGCCTGGTTTTTCAAGGGAATTTCACGGAAAGAAAATTTGGCATTCACTGAGCTACTCATATTATAGAAGGATTCGTAACAGATTAAGCAACCTGAATCCTGAGTCCACGCTTGTTCGCAGAAAAGGTGATGGTTTAGGCAATGACGCCCATACCATAAGTAGATCCATAGATATAGTTAGAAAGTACAATCGGACAATACAGCGCAATATAAGCTGCCCACACGCAATCCATTCGATCATGTCGCATAAAGGTCGCGATGCTAATATTTTTGCACCTACGTTAGTAGTACATGTTCCATGTCCCGTATTATTTATTTTTATCAGTTCTTGAACGTTTAAAAGTTAAAGCGTGTCACATCCAAAATATTACCTCAAATTGATACCACGATATGGCTTGGTTCGCAACTCTGCTAGCTTCCTTCTTCAACCTATCGCTTTCACTAAAGTAGCGGTGCTCATGTTGAAGTGCACTCTTGCTTCACAGTCGTACACCTACCACCCTCCCCCCCCCCAATCCAGTATCTCAGTCCTTTCCTTACTCTGATCCATTCCAGCTGCCCCGCAAGCACCTGCAATGATTCGGAATGCACCAAATGGAATGGTTGAATTATATAGTGCAGTGTGTAATCACATTCGCAATATTACCTCAGACTGATAGCACAACATAGATTGGTTCGCAACTCTGCTAGCAGTTGGACCATCCTTTCTTCAACTTAGCGCTTTCACTAATGCTTTTGTACCCACGGCGGTGGTGTGCACTCGCAAAATCGTACCCCACGGTCTCCTTCCCCCTCTTGCACCTCCTCATAAACTACCGCTCCGCCCTACCCCTTGCTCACCCCCTCGAAATACCTCTTCTCTTCCCTATCCCATTGTACGTGCTCGCGCACAGCTTCCAAGCGAAGAGCCCGTGCAATACTCGGATTGAAGTATCACTTCAAACTGATAGCACATTATAGCCCTGCATGCATATACGCCCTGCAGCGCTGCTAGCGGTTGACCCCTCCTTTCTTCTGTTTGTCGCTTTCACTAATGCTTCTGTTTCTGCCGTCAAGGCGTACTCCTGTCTAAGTCCCCCCATTACCCTCACTTCCCTCGCCCCACCCCTTCCTTGCCCCCCCCCCGCTTGACTCACTTCTTCCCCATTTCCGCTAACCCTGATCCACTGCACGCGCCCGTTCAATGCCAGTTGAGCAGCCGTGCAATGGCTCTGAGTGCACCAAGTGGTTGTCTTATTTAGTGGAGTTATCGCCATCAAAACAACGGTTTGATACTTCTGCACAATCGCTGTCATGGCTAGCGGTCGCTTCCTTCTTTCACTAACCTGTTTAATCCCGTGAAGCATTTTGCGGACGGACAGACATACAAACATACATACATACCGACAAACCGACACACAGAGTTAGTGGTTTATAGAATGTAAGGATGGGATAGCGCTATTGTCGCGAGTATTATACAGTGAACCCTACAGAGCTTACCACCGACAGAATATCCTCACACTGTACCACTGAACCCCGAACCCCCTGCAGATTTATTGCGACCTTCCTCTCTTGAAACACCATTTTTGTTGAAAACACGTCAGTTGAAGTATTCAGCTAACAACTTTCATATTGGTCGTTTTTTTCCGCTTCACGCGTATTATAAGCCCCCTCCGCACTGGAACAAATTAGTACTGTTACTATGACGCGTGCTGTAAATCATGCAAGTGGGTGTTTGAGAATTGAGTTCTAATCCCCTCCCCCCCCCATCAGATATTATCAGTTATTCACCTGTTCTGTCACCCATCTGTAATATCCGTGTCCCATCCGCTAATCACTTGTAGGAATCAACGTCGTACCGTGTGTATGTGTATGTGTGTTTGTCTGTTTGTATGTGCGTCTGCCTGTCTGTCACGAAATACATCGCGACCGTCACAGGAACGGTAAAAATGACAATTCAAAGAGTGATATACACGGCAAGACGAGAACACTTATGGATGGGTGACAGGAGGTGATAACATCTGATAAGATTCGATAAGGGGCCTTAGACGAGGAGGGGCACCAAATTCAAAGCGCAGGTTGCAGTGGCTACACTACCTTGATCTCAAGGAATGATGTGCACGGAAGGACGAGAATACTTCTGGTGGGTGACAGAAGCGGATAACATCTGTTAACATTCGATGACGAATCTTAGAACGGAGGTGCACAAATTCGGCACGCAGGTTGCGATACATTGGTTCCATGAAGGTATAGGGGAGGAGCGGCAACATTACTGATGGGTGAGAGCAAGTGGCAGCAAATGATGAGGATTTGAGTTTGAGTTCTATGGTAGAAATGTTCAGTCAGAAATTGATAAATAGTGAATTATCTCGAATTGAAGATCGAGGAAAAAGGAACCCGAATAGGATCGATTTACCTTAATAATTACTTCTCCTCGCTTCTCAGTTTGAAAGCCTCCGACCTTTTCCAGCATGTTGTTCGCTTCACTCGACAAATGAATCCTTCCGGCTGAAAGCAAGGTGTTAAATCAGCCCATAAGTTATGGTGTTTTTTTCAACGTGAAACGTTTGAGCGGGAAGCGAGATTTTTTTTCTTCAAGCATTATACTGAATATATATTCAGTATCTTCTTATTTCTGACAATTGTACTTTGATCACACGTATTAATTGTAACTGTTCTCACATCATATGTATAATTCTCATGAAATTCCTTTATGTTGTTTCTATTAACCGTTATGTTTAACCGTTCATCGCATTCTTACTCTGCTAACTATGAGAATATCGTAGTCTCTCGCAAGCTTATCAGATGAAACCTCTCCTCCGCGTTGCAACTTTCCCAAGCAGGCCGGGCATAAAAGCGACCGTAGGCAGCTTGAAGGTAACTAGTTAGTTTCTTTCTTATTATTTCTATTGTTTCATCTCTTTGGATTTCCCTTGCCTGTTATACACTAAAGGTTTTAGAAGCACGATCACTGCACTATAAGGAGCCTTCCCCGCACTAAAAGGCGACACAGAAGTAGACTTAGGTAATTTTCTATGAAATTCATCACTCTGTGCATTTCATGATTTTACGATTCCTTATTATTTTATGGTTTTTTAATGATTGAGTTTAATTACCCAAGTTTGAGGTCGGTGTGTAAGATTCCCGCGTGGCAGACCTTATGCGATCCAATACGACACCCGACTTTAAGCATTGTTAACTGATTGGTAGAAAACATGATGTTATTCATGATGGCATGGTTAGATTTTTCTTCTTTAACCTTTGTTGAATTTTAGGATATTGGAGCTCAGTGGCAAGGTTACGAAAAGGAGCGATCTCGACATCATTTCCCTGAATGATCGAGCTACTGGAGCCGCAAAGGTAGCTAAAAATTTGCAAATGTATGACCGACGAATACTGTCGCTTAGAAAGCTTATGTTCCAGGCAAGCATTTCGGAACTGGGTTTTTCGAACGTTCTTAACCTTCCTACGGTGGAGAGCATAATTCATGCACCAATGTAAGTAAAGCTCTCCCATCAGGTAAAGTTGAGGCTGAATGAAGTGTGAGAGAATCCCATGATCCCATTAGTTTCACATGTCTGGCGTAGGTACCTTGCGAACAGTTTGACTCAGTAAGCCGATTAGCAAACGCACGGATGGGGCGGTGATTGTCAGCAATATAGAATGAAGCCTCAGCCAATTCAACCAAGTTTGAATCTCTTGATAGGTGTCGCAATTCCTTAGAAAACGAATGTCTTACGCTTTCCATTGCTTTCCATTCTGCTGGCTGTATTCACGGTGTCTCCAAAAAGGCAATATCGAGGCATCGTGAGGCCAACCACGCCAGCGACAACCGCTCCTGCAAGTAAATATGCAGGATAGTGGACGAACTTACAGGCTTGTATGTTCTCTACAGCAATTAATCATGTGAAAGTTATGACAAGAGTGCTGAATAGTGGGCGAAATACTTGACCGCAACCAGTAACTGCAATGAAACGTGTATCTCATCTTGTCGGGATAGCGTGCCAGCCACTACATCACCACTTACAGTTTAACGGAACCATTGCCATTACTGTTGGTTAGCCTTTGTTAGCTTCTCGACCTGCTATTTTGATCGTAGGGATTTTTCACGAAGCCTAGAAATATTTGACGAATCCCTGGTGCGCCGGCCGGGTACATCAAAGCCTATTGGGGAAATGCAGCAATTGCTTTCCCTTCAGATGATCATAAAGACACATTTTGTGACGGCAAATCGTTGGTAGAGGGGTCAAAACAAGCATAAATAGAGGATGATCAACGCAATATTGGAGGAAAGGGTAAAATTAATCTTCCAAAACCTCAGATAAGGCGATGTAATTTCAAACGTCAGACGAGCCTAGGGTTGATAGAGGTGCAGTGACACTCTGCAAGCAAGGAGAGACCAGGCGCGTGTAAGAACTACACTGCTGCAAGTATGGCGAGGAAGGCTATGTGACAAGAGAATCGTAATTCACCGCGCTAGCGCATCGCGCCCGCAAATGACGATGGTTCCAGGTAGTAGATGGCAACAACAGGCAATTCAGAACCGAAAATAGTCATGAATGTCTACGATGACGGGGTCTACATGAAGTCCGGTGCTCCAATCGACAAATTAAAAAACGCTGCGCTCATCGCCGCGAGCGGCGGAGCGGCAAATTACGATACTCTTGCACGCCTCCCGGCGAGGAAGACGGTCAGACCGTGTTGTCATGTGGCTCCGGACCTCTTCTCGGGCAATCGCGAAATGTCTCTCTAAATCCTTGAGAACCTGAAAAAGTACATCATCTTCACTTAGAAACAACAGGCTGACCACTGTTATTTGTATGGAACAGCAGAGTGTACGATCGTTATCTTGTTCTTATTTCTTTACACTTTATCACTTCCAAATTTCCACTGGATACTGTAGTTCTTTTTTCGTTTCTGCCATACCTGGTTTTATCTGCCATCGAGGTAAAGGCTGGCTAGGACGGTCAAACCCGAGGCGTGTTTATGCTTGAGGAGTTTGAATCAGGCTTGAACGTCTTTCTATATACCTACGTAGGCTGTTTGACTCTTTTTTAGCCTGAGTGGCAATCCAATCGCTGAGTGTTGAGATTTATTGTTTGCGTTCATTGGGAAGGTAAGGAATACGAAAGTCGACGAGAGCTTTCAAAAATCCCAACGACATACTGCAAATCTCCTTTATATGCTGGTAGCCATTTCGTCGTGGTAGGCCACTGACACATAAATATGCGTCTCCGATTGTTTCGACCTTAATACAAAATCCAATCAACACAGTAATTCCACATTCCTTGTTCTTCCGCCAAGGGTAAAAATTTGGTGAAAATAAGATCATAAAGATAGGACCTAGGAGGACCAAAATTTGCAGCATTTGCAATAAGCTTTTTTCAAAATCGCATCTACCGCCTAATCACACTCGTCCAAGTTTGAAAGATTATTTAAGCATAGTAAAAAATTGTTCTAAAAACCAGTTTTTGATGATGAATAATTTTTGTGCTTTCTGTGTTAACTTCACCAACCTTATAAACGTCGTGTGCGTCTATAATGCTGTCGAATGTCATATAAAGATTGTTGAGAAGGCTAACTACCTGAACGAAAGAAAATCTCGTTAATAAAACAGCAGTAGTGTAAGTGTCTCCTGATACCTGCAACGGTGAACCTCTGGCCGCGATCGTTGTGAATGAAACAACGTCGGAAAAGAATACTGTGAACACTTTCCGAATGATTCGCTGGTTCAACTGACTGACCGTTTAGCTTTTCAAGTTTTTCGCTACGCCTGTCTGGAATAGCTTCGTTCTCATATTGAGGCCTCTCGCCGAAGCAAGCTTGATTCGAGAGAGAGAGAGAGAGAGTGAGTGAGAGAGGGAGAGAGAGTTTCCGCTGCCTACCATGCTGTTCGTGGTAGGCAGCGAAAAGGTTGGCTGGTGATCCACTGAACACTCTTCACACACCGGCCAGCAACCTTCAGGTATCACGTAGTTACCACAGAAAGCTTAGAAGTTTTCGTGCTAAAATTCTGCAGTACCGAGCGAACAGTGATGGGCTGTTCTATGGTTGGTTTGTTGTCAACCGTTTGTCGTTGGCCTTTTATCTAGACGCAGAAGTCTCCACACCAGGTTTACAGGAATATTCCACCCTAACTTTTCACGAAGGCGGAGGTGGTACAGTGACAAGCGGCGCGCTTACACTCGCGCGGTCTCGGGTTTGAATCCCGGGTCGACTCCGACTCGGACTAGCCAAAGCCATCTACCCTCCGGGGACCGTAAATTGGTACCAGATTCGCCTGGGAGAATAAAACACTGACTTGTACATCGGCTGGCCCCCGCAAGTCATTGCATAGGCCACTACGATTCTAAATGGAAGTAGAATGGATTCCGCATCCCACAGAGGGACTGATGAAGGGCGAAGAATTTATCCTTCAATTTTTCACCCCCATGCCTTGCACAGTTTCTGGGCCACTCTTTTTGAAGAGCCTTCCACATTGAGTCCTTGCACGGCATCAGTTGTGCGAAGTTGCACTTCGCCTCTGCTTCTTGATAGAAATGACCCCCCTCAGCGACATCAGCACTTATTTGAAGTCGGGTTCTCAGCACGCCTGAACCCCTTCGTGAGAAAAACTCATCACAAGCTCCACCGAAGCCGTTCTCCTCCAGTCTCATCTCTATGCAGAAATGACCACAGGTACAATCACCCGAATGATCCACTTCTTCAGCTCTGCCCTGGTAGATTAATTGAGATTAATTATCTTCTACCACCTACTTGGAGCTCACCATCAGTTGAATGGTAATAAGTTTGTGAGGAAGCGTTGTAGCACATCAACTGTGAGCCCGGATATGGCAAATTCTATTGTCGCTGGCAATTCTGACTAGATCCCTCCCGTAGGTTTCAGAGGTGTCCAAAGCTCCCCTTGACTGAGAAAAGTTCAACCGACGTTTTGTGATTACTGCATTAGGGTGGATCTTACTTGGGGAGCATTCTGTACAACAAAATATCGCTTTTCTTCTTTTCTACCACCAGTTCCTTCGTTCTTTGTTCAACTTCTTCTTCTAAACTACAAGCATACTTCTCCATCATATTAAATACGTAATCCATAAGGTTCGAGCACCTGAAAAACAGGATTTTTTTCCCGCTTCTGTGGAACGAATGCATATTACTATTCATCTTTACTTCGAAGAATAAGTTACTCCTCACTTGGTTGTCTGCATACTCCTGAGTTGTTCCCTTACTTGAGTGATTGTCGGCCTTTCTGAAGGGCGTTCAGTCCAACAATCTCGAATTAAATGCAGCTAAATATCGTATTTTCAATGCATAACAGAACAAAACAAGAACAGTACCTGCAAGAATAAATACAGGGATGACCCCTCAAACTGGCACTCGTTTTTACTTACCAGAGCTGGGCTCACGTCTACGCTTTCGTGTGGCTCAAGATCTGGGCGTGGAGCGTTGTGGCCACCTTTCTTTAGAAGGTAAATAATCTCTGTAAAATAGCAGCAGTGTCATGGGATCTGTTGTCCAAAACTTCCAGCATATCACCTTCTGCGCTCCCTAGGTCTTCTGAAGTGTCAAAAACTAGACTAACGATGAAAAAACCTAGCATTTCACATTGCGCTCATGGTATCTCGGAATTGGACCCAAAATGGGTCCCAAGGTTCTGGCAAAGGTTTTCTGACTACCTGAAGTGTCTTCCTATGATACTTCGACGAGGAACCCTTAAGATTAAATTGTTTTGATTTGTTACCACTCTAGCCCACATTTCTTCGCGAAGGAGTTACTACATCAGGTGCTTAGGCCATTGAGAGTAATCGAGACGACGAGGACAGGCGAGGGACCACGGTCCCTATCTCTACACTCGAGAGGGTGTGTGAAGGAGATGCGGACTGAACAACAGCTTCCAGTTCCACCTAGTGGGAGAGGTTCAGACTGCACGCTCACGAGACTATAGTCATTTTCCCTGCCCCCTCGTTGGCAGGGATAATGACTATAGTCTCGTCGCCTCTCCTCCTCGTCTCAGTCTTTCTTAGTGGTGCTCCAAGGAGGGGGGGGGAGGGTTTATAGGTGCTGTTTCGCTGACGAACTTGAGTATTATCACCATGACACTGGTCACTCCATACTTCACTCAAAAGAACGTTTTTCCTCCCATTTATCGACAGCTGACCATTTTTAAATCCAATTTCTGGCAATTGTACTATACACAAGCGAAGTCTGTCAACACCATTTGGTTCGGCTGTTCACACGCTAGCATTTCCGCTTACCTTCAGGGTCTTCTTTCCTGTTCTCCAGATCCCATGCTCTTGTTTTTGTAACCAGCTGTGCGCTAATGATACCAAAGCTGAATAACAATTGTCTAGCATATTGAGATAACTATAACTACTATCTCACTAATTCCGTTTCATAAATTGCGTAGAGTGAGACCAAACAACTCCACGCGTATAACTATAAATAATGCGATTTAACAGCTGAGAACTGAGCACATTATTACTTAATTGCACTATACTTGCAGCCAGGGTACAAGCATCGTGATGTGTGAGGTGGTGGCGTAGGGACGACCCCCGCCTAAATGATGGCCTCGGTACGACCTACCCCCCCCCCTTCCCTTAACACCTACTCAACAACTTCCCACAGTTTAAACAGATTTTTTTTTCACTCCAAAATTTCCCGACAGTGCGCATGAAACAGGAAAAATCACGCAAAAAAGTCAACAACCGGAAAACCAACGCGACAAATTCTCAAAGGCACATACGACCCCCTTCTCTCCCAACGACCAAATACGACCCCCTCCCCAGAGAAAAGTACGACCCGCCCATGTGTTTCCACACAACGATGTTGTACCCTGCTTGCAGCTCATCGCAGGACAGCCTTACTTGTGGAGTTCTTATGAGAATAGCTATCGTTAGCAGTTTGGCTGTTAGTTTCCTGGGTGAAGCCAAGGAGCGCTCAATGTTTCAGCATCATCCTTTGTACTGTTGATGTAAAACAACACAGAATTCTGACTCATAAGTGCTTCATATGAGTAGTCGACGGCAATAAATAGAACAGACGTAGCGTTTGTAGAAGTGAAAGACATTTTCATCTTTAGTATTAGTGAAAGCTTCTGTTGTTACTTCGTGTTCGGAAGGCACTACTCAAAGAAAATCTTGCATTTTGCCAAATAAAGAGTCTTTTCTCCATCAACTAGAACGGACTTCTGAAGGAGTCCAAGAAAGATGAAAAAGTGTAATTCAGCAGCAGATAACAGAGAAAACAGCCTATGCGACCGTGATCACTTGACCAGTTCGACCATTTGTAACCATGTAGGCATTCCCGAGAGTGGCGGCGTACCACGCAGTCTTAGGGCGCGATATCCCTCCTTACTAGGCCTGCTCACCTTATAAGCCTAAACGATTTATCCTACCCACTGCCTTCAGGCCTCCAACTCCAAACTCCAAAGGTTGAATTTTGAGAGGACAGTAAGCTGTCACGATAAATGTGCTCGCTATCGACCTGGTAAGCTACAAAGCCAACATGCAGTGCAAAAAACTATGGCTGCAGTTGCAATGGGGGAGAAGCTAAGAGTAATTTGCGATATTTTCTTACCTTTTGAAGAAAACTGAATCGCCTTAGGAGAAGCACGTACCTGTATATGTCACCCTCTTGTGACCCTTCGATGTTGCCATTTCGAATGTGTTCCGGAGCGCTCCATAGTAAATCTGAAAGAAAGGGAGGATAATGAGTTTGAAGTTGACCAGCTCTTGAGAGATAGCATGCGCATCCCACTTTATATAATCCACTAAATACATATGCCTGTATGGAAATCAGGAAATCCATAGCTCGCCCCAGTAGCAGTGAGACGTTGACTTGAAGAAGTAGTATAGCGGCTATGACGGGAACATTCTCGGTGTATGATAGGAAGAATTGCCAGCTGGTGAGGGGCA